GCAATGGCCCATTTGTGCCCCACAGCCCAATGGGATCAGTTGGAGAGGGGGTTCCCGGACTGCCCCTGCACTTATTGAATTATTGGACTGACCACAATCTTGTTTCTCCTACAATCCAGGTCTAACCCCTTCCTCACCATCCAGTGACGATTCATCACAATCACTCAATTTTTGTGGGTACGTTGGCTTGCGTACTTTGCCCCCTCATGGTCACCACAAGGCTGACATATTGGTGGTTACTTATATAATTATGCCTTTTGGTTCAGATTCATCAAGATATGTCTGACAAGTCCTCAAACCGCGCAATCCCAGCAGGCCACAGAGGACACATTCCCTCCGTCCCGCCCAATCTCGCGGGCCCCCCACCTCACCTTCCCTCTAGGCAAAGAGACCCCTCTTGGGCTCAAGCACATGATGGTCGGCAAGACACCCCTGTGTTCCAAGCTCACCCTGGTGCAATGTCTGGAAACCACTCCTGGCAGCCGATGTTGGCCCATTCCAGCCATCATCCAATGACCTCCTACTCTGGCCCCCCACAATATATGAGTTACTCTGCGCCGATGACCTACGTGGCACCAACATCCTACCAACACTCGGGCCCGGTATACACTGGCCAACCTCATTACCCCTACTCTGCGGCTCCACATTCACACTTCCCCCCCATGGGCCAACCTGGCCCCCCATACTATCACCATCCCTCAATGCCGATATACGCCCCCCTCCCTTCTCAACCGATGTTCTTTCCTGGTCACTCGGAGCCAACCCATTGGCCAATCCAGATAAATGGCCCCCATCCCCCAGTAAATTATGGGTCCCGCCCCTGTCCAGCCGCCACATCTGATCAGCCCAGCAACCCATCTGCCGCTCCCCAGCCATTGACTAGGGGGGTAAACTCCAATGGATCTGTCCAGACCTGCGAGCACCCAGATGGTCAACTGAAAATGGACTTACCCGATCCCGTGCCCAACGAACTCAAATTCGACACACACAATCCTGTGTCCAAAGAGGTGCCTCAGTTCCATGAGCCAAGGGAAAGCGGGGAACTTTCGGGTTGGGACTTGGGGATCGAAGACAGCACCGATTTCCACGAGCTGAAGTCGTCATTCCTACCGCACTGTCGAGCCGAAATTGAGCCCTTGCCTTTGGAAGGCACTGCTTTGTGGCTGTTGCCCCCCTCTGGGAGTACCCCGGTCGAGAGCACTTTGCCGGTTAAGCCTGATTTGGCTGTTGATCAACAGATTTCCATGCGGCTGGATTTTGAGATGGGGGATGGTTTGGTAGATGTGGAAGGTGGGTGTTTATTTGACGAACTTCTGTGCTCATATCATGTGCAACATGGTTTTGACTAATCTTATGTGGCCTGTTTTCAATAGGGGCCGGCCCGGTAAGAGATGAGGGTCCAGAGCCCCCACCATCAGGGATGGAACTCAATAATACCGAAGTATCAAGCGCCGAAGGGGCCCCTGCTCAAGGGGTCACCGCCCAAGCTGAGGGGGTCCCTGCTGAAGGGGTTCCGCCCAGTGGTCGTGTCATGACTTCACTTGATGTGGACAATTTTGACTTTAGTGTGGGGAGTAAGTGGGAGAGGTTACTTAACTAATAATCTGTCAATGGGCTGATTTGGACCTCTGTGCCTTGAAGATCCGATGGATCCCCCCCCTCTATACAGATTCCACGAGTACAAGGACCTGAAGAGGTTTGCCGAGATTTGGGCACGGGCACATCAGTATAAACTCGTAACAGGCAGCTCAAAGACAGGGAAGAATGGGTACTTGAAATGCTCGTTGGCGGGAGAGGATAGAAACAAGCCCAATACGAATCTACAGCGGTTATCTCGGAACAAACGTATCGGATGTAGATTCAGGATCTCTGCGCACAAACCGACAAGCAAAGACCGCCCGAATGAACCTTGGGAAATTCGGATGGTGGAAGACTTGTCTCATAATCACGGCCCAATGGAGACTCAATATGAGGTGCTCAATCAACGGCTTGATCCAGCACTAGAAACGGAGGCGTTACGAATGGCATCCTTGGGGATGCAGCCTAGAGCGGTGGCAATGATGCTCTCCAAAGAGGCTGGCCGTCACGTCACATGTAGGACAATTTACAATGCGACTTCGGGGGATAAACGAGGGAAGAGGAAAGGTGACACCCCAATGCGGTACCTCCTTCGGTGCCTCAGCGAGTCCAACTGGATACATGACGAGGCGTATGACGACAATGGCCAACCCCTATACGTGTGGTTTGCTCATCCTGGCTCTGTGGCACTGGCGCGGACGTTCCATCATGTGGTCTTGATGGATTTCACTTACAAGACGAATGTCAACAACTACCCTCTGTTGCATGTGGTAGGGCAGTCAGCAACCAACAAGACCTTCTCGATTGGATTTTGCTTCATGAGGAACGAGTCTGACTTTACATATTCTTGGGTGTTGGACAAGTTGAGGTGAGTTGAATGGGTTTCTTGTTTGCACCAGTTCTCACATCAGACAGACAGATTGATTGTTGGTATTCTCAGGGACGTGTGGGCACCCGAAAGACCTCCCAAGGTGATTGTAACGGACCGGGAGAAGGCGTTACGAAATGCGATTGCCAACCACTTCCCTGAGGCGGAGAACAATGTGTGCTTATGGCACATTGATCAAAACATCCGTGCGGCTTGTTACGGGGCATTTGCGGCAGAGCCGGCCGAATACGAGGTGTTCAAGAAGAAGTGGCACACTGTGATGTATTCAAGGGATGAGGACGCTTATGAAGATGCCTGGGGCAAGCTTCAACTGTATCTAGCCGATCGCGCGTCGGTCCTGGATTATCTGATCAAAAACATCATCCCCGATCGCGAGTTGTTCATGAGACCTTGGACAGGGCAGACCGCGCATTTAGGCAATAACACAACCGCTCGGGGGGAGTCTGCGCACAGTTGGCTGAAGAAACACGTGAATTCGCACAAGAAGGACATGGCGAGTGTGTTTGAGAAAATTGCTGATACGGTGGACTACCAGGTGACAAGCATTGTGACTGAGATTTCAAACGAGAAGCAAAAGGGGAAATCCGGGATTCCAGAATACCTTCGCCCACTCAACACTAAGGTATCAATTCATCGCAATATGTGCATGCTTGAGCAGCAGTGGGTCCTGTACCAGAAGAATCGGGACGCAGCGGACAAAGGGTGTGGACCTGTCGAGTGCGCTGGGAGCCTGTGGGCCACGATGGGTGTTCCGTGCTGGCACATGTTGGTGGATATCTTGGACAACAAAGGTGTTGTTGAAACTACAGATATTCACGATCAGTGGAAATTGTATTATGACCCCTGAGGACCCGGTGAGTCAATGTTTGCAATTGCTTGGATGCCGTAGCGCCGGGTGGGTTCTCATGTTTCTCCCTACCTGGACCAGAATCCGGAGCCTCCTTACGACTTCGACAAGGACTATGCAGCCATGAAAGAGGAGATTCTTGCAGAAGTGAGACCTCGAGACCTCCCAGGTCTCATGGCTAAGCTGCGCCAGGTGCGAACAAATACGGTTGTTGTGCCCCTGGGAGAGGCACCCATCGTACGAAACAACCGCAAGGGGGCCAAGAAAAAGAGGAAACGGGGTTATGTGCGAGCAGCTGAACGGGACGCTATCCATGCTGAGGTGGTCGAGGCCCAAGTCAACGAGGCTCAGGCAAAGAAACGGGCGTCAAGGGCTAACAAGGGGAAACGTAAGGCCAAGACTAAGGCTATGACGAAGTCCAATGATTCTTCAACAGATGCCACA